ACTGTGACCATGCATTAATGTGTGTGACCCAGAACCCAACTGTGTGTCCCCTGGTTAGGTTTTCTGCCTTAAGGAGCATCTTAAAAAGACTAATGTGGAATATCAGTGCTGCCAAAAATTGGCTGAAACAAAAAACCCCATAACCTGGGTTTCCAAACAAGTGTTATTTGGGTTAAAATGTATTGTCTTGTTTCTTGTTCAGTCTGTGGAGGGTTAACAGTGTTTTTAGGTCCTGTAACAGCTGGGGGCAGAACTGAGGAATGTTGTTTGCCACTGGGTAAGTCAGCGTGGGAGTAATCTTGCTGAAGGTTTGGAGGCACGAAAAGAGAAGTGATTTAGAGCAAAAAAAACAAACAAAGAAGGATCAGGATGTGTGTACGAACATCCAGACTTGCAGGTGAAAACAAATTTGAACATGCCCTCCACAAGAGAATGGTACGAGGGCGTGGAGGCGGGTGTTGGGGGGCAGCTTTTGTAAGTAGAACATAAAAACAGCGTGTTACTCAATTCTTTCTCAGTATTCATTAATGCCTTTACTTATCACTGATGTCGAGTGTTAAAGACAAGGTGTGTTGTTATTTTATAAAATTTGACAATTTTTGTTAGGTGTTAAAGCAGGGTTTAATTCAGGATTTAACGTATCATTGACTAGACTGAACACTTTATTTTATGCTAAGGCCTCATTCTCCTTACCCTGCTTTAGTTACAAATTCTTTAATAATTAAAAAGGTTTCGATAAAACAAAATATATTTTGCATGAAATCTATAGCTACTTTACTAAATTCACTCATATGGTCTGTTTCGAATATGCCTGTCTGAAACTCGCAGCTCTTTGCCGCTGCAGCACCCACAGTGCCTGGCAAAAGTATTGGCAAAAGGACCATGGTAACTTTGGAGGAGCAGCACTAATCCACAGCTCATATTGACAGGAAAACTACTAGTAATTAGGAAGAGTTGTATGCAATAAGTCACTTTACCGTCTAATACACGGCACACATCGATGTTGTTTCAAAACCCTTCCCTATAATGGAACATAAGAATTAATTAAGCATAATTAAGTAAGAATTATGTATAAAGCTTTTCTTTATATTTCTTTTCCCATAAAACCCCAGTCATTAGCAGCTGGTCTTGAAAAAAGGTTTCAACTTTAAACGTGATTTTTACAGAAAATTTCTTCTTTGCTTGTTTATAAACGTAACACTTGCTGTTGTTTTCATTTTGTTTATTTTTTAACATCTTTAAACATATTCTGTTTTTTTTGTCCAAAGGCTGGAAAATGAAATATTACAAAGAAATTTCATAAAAAAATACACAAGGATCTCAAGTTTCTTTTGATTTTGTTTTATTTTCATAAATTAGGGAGCGGACACCTTGTGGTCACAGACCAACATGCATTTGTTATGTATCACTTTTCTGACAACGTTACATGAACTAACAACTGTAGCTTTTCCAAACAGGTAAATTAAAGTTGCACTGCCATGTTTCTGGCATCCAGGAGAAAATTCTGTTTTATTTGATGCAGTTTCTTTTGGTTCAGAGTCAGTTGGAGTTTGACTTAGTTGGCCTTGATGTAGGATTCATAGAGGGAGGTCAGACGAGTCTGGAGGTCCTGGGCGTAGGGGTCCAGCCTCTCCCTCAGGTTGTCTACGTATGGGGCAGCCATTTCCTTCACCTGCTGGGCTCTCTGTGTGAGCTGATCCTGGACTCTCTCAGTCATGGGAGCGACTCTCTGCTTGAAGTCTTCCAGTTGCTGGTCAACCTTCTGCTTCAGGTCGTCAGTGTAGGGCCCGAGTTGAGTCTGCAGCTCCTGCACACTCTGCTCCAGCTGAGCCTTCAGCTCCTCGCTTTTCTGGATGACGGTGGTCCTCAGGGTCTCAGTATCCAAACTCTCGGTGTAGGGGGCCAGCTCCTGCTTCAGCTGCTCCACTCTCTCCCTGATCTGGACCTTCAGGTTCTCAGTGTAGGGCTCCAGCTTCTCCCGGGCGTTGTTCAGGTCAGTGTTCAAGCGTTCTCTCAGATCTTCTGCCTCTTGGGTGACTCTGGTGATCAGTTCCTGGGCTCTGGGTGGGAGCTGCTCCTGCAGGGTGACTGCATACTGGCTGGCTGCTTCAGCACCATCAGTGATGCGGGCACTGAACAGAGTGACAGGAGACAGTGAGTTTACGCTCTGCAAAAGCTAAATAAAAGCCATGCTTCATGTGATGGTGTATGTCATACCTGATATCCTGGCCAAACTGGGACTTTCTGATCATCTGAAGGGTGTCATCAGCTGTCTGGGTGGCTTTGCCGACATAGTCCCAGAAAGCATCAGTCATTACTTCCAGCTGAGGCTTGGGAGCGTCAGCGTAGAAGATGTTGGCATTGCAGCCTGTTGGACGGACAGAAGGATAACTTGAAACTACCGCAGCTGTCTGAAGGTACAATGCAGTCATTAACAAGACTTTACGCTTCATTTTGATTTGCCCCCAGCTTACTTACCGGTGAAAACAGCCAGGACGAGCACAGCAAGGACCTTCATGGCTCTTTGAAGCTGCAACAAAACAAACAAAAAAAAAAGTCACAAAAGCATTTTCCTTCAGTAAGCTTAGATGAAAAGAGCTTCCTCCGTTTCCTCTTCTTACCTGAGTTTACAAGAGTGTCTGTAAATCCGCTCAGTTGTGCTGGTGCCGAAGTGATGAAGCTCTGCAGCTTATATAGTGAATTCGGACAGTTATGATCCCAAAGTCCAAGAGGTAGTGCTTTGCTGTCACCTTGCCTCACCCTTCTTTCCCTGCTGATATTTTGTAGCAGACAATCTATGCAACAAGCAAGTACAAGCCCCTTCTGCCCCAGAAATATCATTTAAGTACTGGTTTTATCCTGTACAATTACCACTTTAAGAGGAAATGATCAATGTAAAATCAAGATTACATTGTTCTGTTATTGCCTAAAAATGTGTTTGTGCTTCATGACTACAGCAGTGAAACTAAATCCATAGTGTTAACCCTATTTGACCTTATGTTCATCTGAAAGCCTCCAGCTCTTTACTACAGACAGAATCCACAACATTACTGTCACTGAATTCCAACTTTAAGTAGACATACAGAATTTTCCCTGTAATCTTTTTATTGTGCCAACAACTTTCAGGGTAATTAATAGTTGTTGCTTTTGTGTCATGCCAATGTTCAGCAGTCTTGCATATCTGTCTGACCAAAGGTCAGTACATTCAGGCATCGTCAGCCTCTGAGGGACAAAGTAGCTTCTGCTTCAGTTACATGTGTCAGAGGTCAATTCTCATAAACACATTTTAGAGTTTTCTTGATTAATGAATCTTTTTCACTCAAAGAACAATATTACACCATGTGCAGTGTCAAAAGTAGCTAAAGTACACCCATCCCCTGAACTTTCTAATGTGTTGTAAAATTGCGACAAGAAACTTGATTGCATTTTATCTTTCATTGGGGTTTTATGTAAGAAAGTAGCACATTATTTTGAAGCAAAAGGAAGTGGATTGAAGGTTCTTTGAGGAGTTTTTTCTGTACTTTCTTGTAGACAGCATCTTTAGTGGCGTTTCCATTACAAATGTTCACAAAACTTTGTCAATAATCTGCTAAGATTGGAAAATCACAATTTGCAATTGTAGTGTTTTCATTAAATGAGGAACACAATTAAAATCACACGTGAATACGTTTGTCCACGAGATAAGTAGTTAAAAAGTATGCAGCGGCATCATCCTCCTGCTGCTTCCTGTCATCTTCTTCATCTCTGCTGCCCATATTAACGAGTTGATATCATGAGTTGATGCAAAAAAAGTGTTTTCATTTAAGTTTTGAAAAATACACTAATTTTGATAGAGTTAAAAAACCACCTCACACATATGCAAAAACATTTTAGCAAAAAATTTGATTTTTTTTTTTTTTTCAAAATTGCCATTAACAAATTTATTTTAGTGATTCCAACTTGCACAATTATGTGATCAATGGAAACGCAGCTACTGTTGAGTCTCTAGTCTTTCGCCCAAGTGAAAAACAAGTTATTTATACTCCACCATCTCCACTTCTTTTCCACAAATGGAAGTACAGTGTCTAGAAAGTTTAATATATCCCATAGCACAGTTCAAAATGTCATTCAATGTCATTGTTGAAATAAAGGCAAAAAAGTCCAGTTTGCAGTTTTTCAATAAGCTACGTAGGATGCACAGCTAACATGTGGAAGAAATACTCTCGTCAGGTGAGACCAAAGATTAGCTTTTTGTCTAACATGGACAGAGAAGCTGTTTAAAGCTGACAAGTAAGTAAGTAAAAATGTACTTACAACACCTTTTAAGATCACAAAGTGTTGACAAGAAAGCTAAAGGAAAAAATAGAATGAGAGGAAATCTGCTAGAGGCTACAGAAGACATGAGACTGGGGCGAAGCATTACGTTCCAGCAGGACACTGACCTAAATATTTTTGGGACAAAGCTGTCCTAGGCTGCTTTCTATTTCCCTCACATTCATTTAAAAATATCTCCTTTAGTAGTAAACTCATAAAACCATTCCAAATAGAAATGTCCAACAGGTATCTCCTGAATAAATAAAAGAAAACCCTTAAATGAGATAAAATTCTGTCCACCATGAATTCAAGGGGCTAAAATTAAGAAATAAAGAATTTAAGTGGATCCATCTTGATAGCGCTTAATTCGTGGAGCTTGACCTGAAGACAAAGTCCACAAGTCTAACAGGGTTATCTTAAGTTATCTAGTGACTGCTAGTGCTGGACCATGTTGACACCTTAAAAGCTGCACACTTTTAAAGCTTTCTGCAAACAATTTAGGGGAGGAAGTGACACTATTGAAAACCAAAGCGGATTTTTCTGTATGTATTTTCCATCATTCAGCTGTTCAGTGAAAACATATTTTTAAAAAAACAGCAGATATAAAAAGTAGAGCGGTTGTGACAGCATGGCAGGGACTCCTGGACTTTGGGCTCTTCACTACAACGGTCATCTGACTTCTGTATATATACACGGAAGCAACACTGAGACACAGTCACTAACACGCTAAGCCCTGAAAGATACACACGCCCCAAAGCAGGTGAGACAAGCACTGCGCTTCAGACTACATGTTTACAGCAAAATCTAAAAGTGTTGATGTAGCCTTACTAGTAGGAATTGATTATTAAGTATTAATGTCTTTCAGCAGGTTGCAGTCATGAAGGTGTTTGTGTTGCTAATCGCTGCAGTGCTCTCTGGTAAGATGCTCTCACTTAAATAAAATAAACAAGGACTGATAATAATAATAGCAACAAATAAATAAATAGTAATAAAATAAATTAGGTCTGAAAATAACCTTTATTCACATCTTTATTTTTGCAAGGCTGCAATGCCAACCTCTTCTACGCTGATGCACCAAAGCCAAAGTTAGAAGTGTTGACTGATGCTTTCTGGGACTACATTGCCAAGGCCACACAAACAGCTGATGATACTCTGGAGATGATTAGGAGCTCACCAATTGGACAGGAAGTTAAGTACGTTGCGTGAGGGAGAGTTGGAGGGGGGAGGCTTGTATTCTGCAGCATGTTACACAGTCGTAGATGTCCTGACAGTCATTTTGTCTTGTTTTGGTTGTCTAGTGCCCGCTTGACAGAGAGCGCTGACTTAGCCAGCAAGTATGCTGTGACCCTGCAGGAGCAGCTTTCCCCCGCAGCCGAGGACCTGATGAACAAGATAACCACAGAGGCTGACATGCTGAAAAGTGTGCTGACCCAAGAGCTCAGCTCCGTCAGAGACAAACTGGAGCCCTACACCGAGAACATGAAGGCCCAGATCCAGCAGAGGGTCGAGCAGCTCAAGCAGGAGCTGGCCCCCTACGCGGACTCGCTGGACTCCGAGGCGCTGAGGTCCACCTTGATTCAAAAGAGCGAAGAGCTGAAGACCAACCTGGAGCAGAGCGTGAAGGACCTGCAGGCTCAGCTGGGGCCCTACACAGATGACCTGAAGCAGAAGGTGGACCGGCACCTGGAAGCGTTCCAGAAGAGCGTAGCCCCCGTGACCGAGAAGGTCCAGGTAGAGCTGACCCAGAGAGCCAGTCTGGTGAAGCAAATTGTGGCTCCCTATGCTGAGGACCTGAGGGACAAACTGGACCCCTACGCCCAAGACCTCCAGTCCCAGCTCATGTCTCTCTACCAGTCGTTCATCGAAGCCAACTAAGTCGTCTTCAACCTCTGCAGACATAAACACAATCCTGAAAAAGCGTTCCACCACCAGCCATATGGAGGATGAACAATGAAATGCCAATGTTGCACTGTAAATGAGACCAAACAGTTTGAATATCCATGTTATATTTATTGCTGAGTCCTGAAAAAACAAGCCAGATCCTGCACTTGTCCACATGTATATATGTATTTGACCATTTTTGTAATTTAAGTTATCTAAAATAAAATAAGAAAATACTGCATAAAAATGTCTGAACTTTGTTTATCTGTGTATAAATGCAATTCCATAAATCACACACCTCTGATTAGCTACCACAAAGACATGTGCTTGTTTTTCCCAAGAAGCAATAAGTATTTTGCCTCAACATGTTTTGGCTTGTACCACAGTTTCGCCTTGTAGTTTCTCCTCAGGCTCCCTATTGTTCTTGCCATGAAAGCTTTAGTGTGTTATCACTACAAGTCAAACTCAAAAAGCCATGATGGACCAACACTATTAAAGGAGAAAGTAATATAACCACATGTCTTTACATATAAAATATTTTGGTAAAAATACATGCCTAACTTTTTTTCATATGACACATTTTAGATTGTGCAATCTAGCCTTTCCTCCTTTTAGTCCACCCCCTCACCTCCATGCTGAAGGTGCCAGCATCCAACGTGGAGGGTTAGAGTCCAGCAATGATAGAGCAAACATGCGTGCATACACAACACATTTGCTCTCCAATCGCATCTTATGAGAAAATAATGTTGAGATTTACGTCTCACAGAAACTTTTCTACATTTTTTTCACATATTTTCCTGTTACACAAAAAGCTGTAATTTTTGATTTCAGGCTGAGAGGACAAACAGTTTAACAAAACACACTAATTTGTATGAGGTAAAGATAAAGTTTGTGTTTTTGTTATCTCTGTAAACTGTGTAATTATCCAAAAATGTTAGCTCCAGGGAAATTCTAAGAAGAAAGACGTTAACTGAAACTCTGTGAGGCTCTGCAATGGCAAATCTTATCTTCCATTTTCATGTTCCAGCCTGTTTTATTGCTGATTAGAGCTGTTGGTGCTGCCTTATCAGTCATTGTGAGGCATTGAGAACTTGGTCCAAATGGCCACGGTAAAGGCAGCTGTTGGTACAATGAGAAGCTAAAAATCTCAGTTTTCTTGAACATGATAGGACTCGCATAAAAAGGCAATAAGACATTTGGTTGTGTTGTGATGGAGGTAAGAAGTCATTACTTGTGAATTTGAGGCAGTTTTAAAGCAACCCAGTGCCATTAAAGACCAGAAGGGCTTGTAGATCAGTGGTTTGTAACAAACCCTCAAACATTTCCCATTTGTCTGCTTTTACAAGACGTATATGCAAACATAAAAACCTGAAAAACTGAGAGGAGTGAACACAGAAACTCAACTGTGCACCCTAGTGGCAGGAAGTATGTTACTGTTTCACATTAATGAAGCCAAAATAACGAACAAGAGATTCCACAAACAAAGGAGAACAAGAGTAGGTATGAAATGATAATTTGTGAGAAATGTTAAAATTAGACATACTTTTATTAACACAAAATGTGCCAACAAACCAGTGAAAAGGGATGCCAAAACAAAGGGAATTCAGTCTTACATGCCACATCACCTTCACTGTGGATTTCATTAGAAAGAGAAAGCCAATTTATAGAAAAACATTTGAAAAAATGCACATTAAAAAAGTTATTAGTATTTTAGGTTTAAATAATATATATATAATCAATTCAATAAAGTTATTTTTTTTTCTGAGTTGTGGTCAGGTTTGTAGCTAAGATTACTTTCTTTACCAAAATCAAGAAATGTGTGTAAAAGCATCAAAGGGAAAAATCAAGCAGAGAATCAACAGAGAATGCAGATGAAGTGATGTATCTGCATAAACCAATGACCAACCAAGGCAAAAGTAACAAAGTTTATATAGTGATGAGGAAGTCTTTAGAAATGCCATCTGAATTCAGTTGCTTGGAGACTTAACAAATTGGCACCACACCAGTGGCGCAAAAAGTGGGTATGCAGCTCATGCAACGCATAGGGGCGCTGCACCAGAGGGGGCGTCAAAACCCTGTCTGGAGGGGGCCGATGATGTCTGTTTTGCATCCACGTCAGCGCGCCCTTACGCTCCTTCACCTCGCACACATAACGAGGTAAATGTAGGGAGTTTTACCTTTCACGTGTCTTTGTCCCGGGGGGTGTGGGGGGGGGGGTAGAATGAGCGTCTGTTTTCTACGCTCCTTCACCCTGATGTACCTTCCTTCCTTCTTTCCTATGTTTTCGCATCCTCCTGAATAACATTTAGTTGCGACCCTGCACCACACTCAGGGATTTAAAAGCATTCTCCAGCACACCCAGCCTGCTTGTTATTCACCACAGTTTTAAAAGACTGCTTGCAATACAAATAATAAAAATAAATACAATTCTGGCAACATTTAGATTAAATGTTGCAATTTCTGCTCCAGATCTGATCAGCATTGATACTCTAAAGCCAGTTGATGTATTACCTTCATTTTTCTAAATAACTGTGTAGCAAGAATACTTTATGTCAAGTAGCTTTGTTGTGATTCTGTAACTCTCACATTTCACAGACCACCTGAGTACCTGTGTTTATTGCTAAGGTTGCTGTTGTAGATCTATTAACTCAAGATGAGCTTTAATTTGAACAAAATCATTTAAAGTTACATTTTCTCTGTTTATTCATGGATCAGCCCAATGAGTTCTCATTTGGGGAAGTTTTGCTTTTTGAGGCATGTTTTTCCTGTTATATTGTAATATTTTTATTCAACAACTGAGATTGATTCTACAGTTTAACTTAACATTTGATTCCCCTTAAGGAGAGCCTCTCTCAAGCCAATAGAAGGTGTTACACTGCCACCCAGTGTTGAAATTGTAGCAGAACATTTTAACTGAATTATTTCTAACCTTAATCTGAAGTTACAATCCCACAATAGATTAAGTTCCTACACTAAAATTGTTAACATATTGTCAGGACACTACTAATGCACTTTCAAACTGATGTCAATGTCAAATTTATTTATGTAGCACTTTAAAAACAGGTGTAAAACTGCAGCAGAGTGCTGTACAAGAACGATAATAAAATAAATTGATGAAAAGAAAGAGAAATATTACAAGAGAAGAAAAAAAATCCATATATATTTTTAAAATAAAAAATCAAAACAGAAGAGCTACAGTATCAGGCCTCAATTGAATGCCAAAGAATAAAAATGAGTTTTGAGAAGTGATTTAAAATGATCCAGGCTGTGGGCAGATCTAATCTGGGAAGGTAGATTATTCCATAGAATAGGAGCAGCAACAGAGAAAGCCCAATCTCCTTCCCTCTTAAGTCGAGTCCGAGGGACTTTCAGTAGCAGCTGATCATTTGATCATAAAGTTCTGGACACAGAATGACATTTCAAAAGATCCTGAAGATAAGAAGGAGCTAACCCATTTAAAACTTTATAAATTGTTAAAAGAATCTTAAAATCTTTTCGAGAAGAAACAGGCAGGCAGTGTAAGGAGGCCAATACGGGCCTTATATGGTCACGCTTCCTGGTTCCTGTAGGAAGCCCAGCTGCTGCATTCTGGATCACGTGAAGATGTTGCATCTGGGATTTATCCATGCCTTTATATAATGAATTCCAATAATCCAATAGAGATGTAATAAAGGAATAGATAATTCCTTCAAAATCCTTAAAACAAAAATAAGATCTCACCTTTGCTAAAATCCGTAAGTGATAAAAACTTGATTTAACAACAGAACCAACTTGTTTGTCAAATTTCAAATGACAAATGGCACATTTGTGGGTCCACGGCCTGATTTATAAGACAGTAATCGTTAAACTCATATGGATGTTAATGGATGGCTGTCTAGGACAGTCCTACAATCAAAACCAAACTCACAGGTTAGCGGTTATCATCTCACATAGATTGCTGCAGCTTCCTAAAACCTAAACACAGTTGTGTACTGTAAGTATTCTCCAAGCAAAACAGATAATATATTCAGGTGAAATGTTTTATTCTGTGTGTTTAGTTTAGATTTCAGCATATGTGTATTTTCTGAAAAGATTAAAACGGTCTCACATTTCAAGTGCATTATTTGTAGAAATGAGCAAATCTATTAAAATGGAATATACTGCAATGCTGCCCAGTAATGAAAAACAGCATAGTACAGTGGTTCCCAAACTTTTTCTTCTGCGCCCCCCCAGTGGTTTCCAAACATTTTCTGGGTCCCCCCTATGGATTACAAATGGCTGTCTGGTTGAAACGACGCGTGTAATGGGGGGGGAGCATCGACTTTTTTGGGGGCAAAATGAATGTACGTAGCTGAAAATAGACATCGGTAGCCTACAAGGTACTTGTTAAGCTTAAGGTTCTGTATTGATATTAGCTAGTCATCTTTTAGCTAACATTACCTGCAGCTTTACTCACCTCAGTCGGTTAGTTTGGAGGGAAAAACTGTGAAAAGTTCTTTGCGTTTTGCTGGTTTGCTGCCGTGATTCTAACACAAACCTACGTAGCTCCGCCCAGCAGCAGCAGGTCTCCTTCACAGGTGGAAACCCAGCGCGAGCGTCGTAGCGCTCATGTTAAAGGCGGCTCGGAAAAACAGGTTACAACATGTTAACAAGGGATTAAACAGTTTTAACTGCTGATAAAAGACACAAATATGGGAAGTGTGGAAGCCTCTACTGTATCAAACTGACAGGAATAACAGAGAGTTGGCCATTCTAAGGTAAAAACCCAGCGCATACAGTGTTCATGTTTTTTTGTTTTTTTTTCATCCAGACGGCTTCCCGCGCCCCCCTGCAATGACACGGCGCCCCCCCCTAGGGGGCGCGCCCCACAGTTTGGGAACCTCTGGCATAGTAAATGTCATGTATTGCAAGAGCTGGAACATTTTAACATGGAAAATTTGCAGAAATACAAGCAAATATGCAAGATCAGAAATGTAGTTTATAGGAAATCAACGGAATTGTGACAATCATTTTGTGGTTAGAGGTAATTTTTTGAGATGGCCACTGTTTGTTTTTTTCATGCTGCAGTATCTCTCTTTGGAAAGTTTTCACATTATTCTTCATACCAGTAAAGGTGAGTTTATCTATCAATTGTGTCTGAGTTTAGCACATGTGCAGTAATAAAAATAAAACAAACAATACA